CATCCATACGGCCATCAGACATTAAATATATCTCCAGCTAAGACATACACTACCCTTATCTGCTATTCGCTCTTTGCATGGGACTAATCCCTGTCCCCCATATTTGCATGAGGCTAATCCTTGCCTCCATATTTACATGAGTCTAGTCCTTGAATCCATATTTGCATGAGTCTAATCCCTAACTCCATATTTGCATGAGTCTAATCCCTAACTCCATATTTGCATAAGGCTAACCCTTGCCTCCCATACTTGCATAAGTCTAATCCTTGACTCTATACTTGCATGAGTCTAATCCCTGACTCCATATTTGCATGAGGCTAATCCTTGCCTCCATATTTGCATGAGTCTAATTCCTGACTCTATATTTGCATAAGGCTAACCCTTGCCTCCCATATTTGCATAAGTCTAATCCTTGACTCCATACTTGCATGAGTCTAATCCCTGACTCCATATTTGCATGAGGCTAGTCCTTGACTCCATATTTGCATGAGTTTAATCTCTGACTCCACGTTTGCATGAGTCTAATCCTTGACTCCATACTTGCATGAGTCTAATCCCTGACTCCATATTTGCATGAGGCTAGTCCTTGACTCCATATTTGCATGAGTTTAATCTCTGACTCCACGTTTGCATGAGTCTAATCCTTGACTCCATACTTGCATGAGTCTAATCCCTGACTCCATATTTGCATGAGGCTAATCCTTGCCTCCATATTTGCATGAGTCTAGGTCTTGACTCCATATTTGCATAAGTCTAGTCCTTGACTCCATATTTGCACGAGGTTAATCCTTGCCTCTTCATTTGCATAAGGATAATCCTTGCCTCCCCACTTGCACGGGACTAAGCATTATCCCTCTTTGCACATATATTGCTCTATTTCTACTACTATCTATTTGCTTTTCAATCGGGCTAAGCTTTGCCCTTCATTTCACAAGGCTAAGCCTTGTCTTGTTACATCATATTATTGCATATCATGGGCTGAAACATCGCCAATCTATCCAAAGGCGTCATTCTCATAGCCAGAAGACACCATGTCATGGCCTGAGGATCTCTCGAACTTGCATATCATTATTCAAAGGCGTCATGGTTCAGAGCCACCATTTTCATGGCCCGAGAACACCATTTCATAGCCTGTGAATCCCTAACTAAACAATTCATGGCTCAGGATGTCATGGTCCAAGGACGTCATCTTTAACCGTCCGAAGGCAACCTTCGTGGTCCGAAGGAATCTACATCATGTTTAAATTTTCGCAAATACATTTATAGCATCTTTTATCTGCAGGTAAACAGGAAGCAACCGCTATCCTAGAAGGAGAAATCTTGCTCTAGTTCCCTCCAACCGTCCCGAGCCTTAACCACTCACCGTAGTCGCTTCCGCATCTCGTGGCTGTTCTTGCAATAATTTCATCGGCCTACTCTGTAGGTGAATCCAGAACTACACATCGCCTGATTCCTGTAAAACCAGGGATATGTAGGCAACTCTAAAACCAGAGTTCGGCCTCTATCTTTCAAAATATCCCATCCGGTCAAAATTGGCCATCATTTCTTTATGTGAAAACTCTTTCATCATTCCCGGGTAAAGAGGGACAGCTGTTGATACCCAATTTTTTCCTATATATTTTTATATATAAATACCTTTGAAATAACATATATATGCATATATACGCATGCACAAGGTTTTTATAATTTTTTCCATAATTTTAAGGATTTAAATTGATTTATTTCCTCCCCTTTTTTATTCATAAAATTGAAATAATTATTCTACAAATTATTATTATGATTATTTATTCATTTAATTTCTATACTTATACCAAAATATGGTTAATATATTTTTTATACATTTTTATAATTGAATTTGGTATTTTTAAGCTAAATTGCATATAATTGCAATGTTAGCCCATTTAATGTATAATTACTTTTTATATCCGTAAAATTAGTCAATATATTTTTAAAATGATAAATATATATTTTTAAATTATTTTGGTACATAAAATTATTTTCCAGAAATTGTTTATTAGTTATTATAAATTAAATAGGGAAAGTTGGCTATTTAAATTATAGCCAGATTTGGATTTCAATTGTAGCCTAAATCGGACTCAACCCCAGCCCAATTTCCTACCCAATTTCCCGACCCAGACCCTATATACACTTACCCAAACCCGGAACCCATTTACCCGATCAAATCTTGGCCGTTGATCTCCCAAATCAACGATCTATATTAACCCTTTCCTTTTTAATTCCTAATACCCCCTAACCCTAATCACTCTCTACACACCGTCACCTTTAGATTCTCTCATTTCCTCTCTTCTCTCAACCTAGCCCTAGCCTCTTTCAACCACCTCCCTTCTTCGGTCTTCTCCGGCGACTACCCTTCAACCCCAAGCTTCCAATGTCTCTTCCTTTGCCATGCTCATCTTCTTTGAGGACTTCAAGGGCCCTGGGTCACACCAAATTGCATCTAGGGTTTTCTATCTAGTCCATTCTTGGCTATTTCAGTATGATTCCAAGTGAAATCCTGCTATACTTGTTACGATACTTGAGGTTTTGACAAGTTATTTCATCTATACTTGGGTTTCTTCTAAAACCCTATTTTTGTTTACATATCTTAGATCTGTAAAACTTTTGAATGATTTGAGTCTTCTCCTTTGATGTTTTACACTGTTCTTGAATCTCTTTTACAAAAATCATCGATGTCAAGTTATTTTCATCTTCTTCCAAAGCTAGGGTTTTAGAACTTCTTCTACACTTTGTTTAAACTAATTCTTTATGTTTGAAACTTCTATCCTTGCATATCTTGACTGCTTCTATGTTCTTACTACTTTTTCAACTCGTCTGTGTTAAAAGCCCTAATTATTTTAGATCTTCTTTGTTTTGGTTCTGTGTGTTAGCATGACTACTCGATTCTTGTTAAGTTTCTGTGGTTACCGTGCTTCGAATAGGTTATATTGAGTCCTTAGACTACTTATATCACCTCTATGTGATTGTATTCATTTTGATTGTTCAAGACTTGTCTCTTTCTGTCGATATTGCTGACCTTGCCTGTTTGCTATGTCTGTTTGTTCTTCTCTATTTATATGTTGAGTATAGAATCATAATCATAATTCCCTCTTAATTGATTCTGATTTCCTTATTTTATGGTTTGATTGAAGGATTTTCTTTTAAACCCTAAATTTCTACATCGTCTGTTTAATTTGACTGATCCCCTACCTTATTTGTTGTGGTACTTTATTTTTTATTGAACCATTTCCTTAATTGGAGTTTTCTGAACTTAGTCCTAATTGACTACCCTATGCTTACTGAACTTTGATTCTTTCCTTATTAGTCATATACCGATTTTCTTGCGTTATACGCTACTGGTTCTTACCGTTTGAATTAATTCCCTTAACTTAAGGGAGTACTTGCCTTGATTTTCTAACTGACTAATTCTGAGTTCCTTAATCACTATGCTACTATGATTCTTACCTTATTTACGACATGCTTTCAAACTATATATACCCTAGTCTTTCATTATCACAACACACGAACTCTTGGTTTAAAACTATCTCTCACACTCAAACTTTCTGCTCTCTCTTTTGTACTACTTGCGACTGCTTTAAGTTGGCCGGCTACAAGCCAAGGCTAACCATTTTTGTTCTCTTGTTCTTTCATTATGCTCACTATCCTCTTTACTTGTATGTTCTAGTTTCAATTCAACGCTCTAACAATAATGTGATTTTATTATTACTTCAGTTCATTTTGTTTCTAGTTTGCTTCTATTTGTGGTTTTGTCGTGAAACTTGTAGTTGATGGTTATATTATTAGCATGTTATTATGTCTTCCCCTTCATTTAGATCAGTATATTCCCCCTTTATGTGTGTTTCTGAGCATGTCTTACCAGTTATCTCTTACTTGTTGTGTACTTACCATCATATACCCCATGAATCCCCAAACCCCTTTCACTCCTTTATGTGGTTGTGTTCTTCATGTCTGGTTTTGTGACTATGCCAGGGTCAACTATTTCTGAGCATGTCTAAACTAGTCCTAGACCTTTGCTGGGTTATGTGTTTGCAGTCAAATGTTCTATGTATCCCAAACCCCTTGACCCCTGTGTGTGACTATTGAATTTACTTGGTTCTGTGAAATAGCTATGTATAAACCTGTCCTAAGGTGTTTTAACTTCTATTCATCTCTTCAAACAGTCTCTGTTGTTTTACTACATTATTTTCAAACAGATTTTTATTTTAATACAATTTTTACTAAAACTTTTCAACTTGTGTCAATCACTTTTCACTCTACTCTTAATCAATAAGTTCTGCCCCCTCCAGTATGTGTACTGCCTTGGGATCCTTTTGAGAACCCTCTAAACTCTGGCATACTGAAGCTGGCCCTTCCGCACTGCACTTGTTCAATTCTTGGTTACCAAGTCTAGGTGTAAGCACTGTCCGGGATCTTTGAGATCCTTAGGGAACTTTGATGCACCTAGACTATGTCATTGTCCATGGAATTGAGGCATTTGAGGCCATTGGAGGCTTTGGGAAATTTGGGCCTAAATGAAGGCTCCCTATAGAATAGCTTCTTATTTTTCTTATTTACTTATGTAATTCATTTATTGGTTTGTAATTACTTGTAAACAAATATTGGGGTATTTAGTGAAAGGGTGAGTAGATACATGTTTTATGGAGTAATTCGGGTAGAAATCATGCTCATAGGACTTTTGTTTTTAATCCGATTGCTTTGCCAAATAGAAATCATGCTCATAGGACTTTACTTTTTAATCTGATTGCTTTGCCAAATAGAAATCATGCCCACAAGACTTCACTTTTAAATTTGTTTGCTCTACTAATTAGTAACCATATTTTTTTTGGTAATTATATTTTTCATTAATCACCAATGAAATCATTACAAAATAGCAGAGTCATCCTCGACTCACTTAATCTTTACATATATTCTAACTCTATCCTATATTATGAGTAGTACATAAAGACATTATACAAGGAAGTTGGTTAGTTACTACATTCTTTTCAAAATATAAGCTGCTGCATTTGTGCCCGCATTCCTCCTTGAGCTCTAATATTGCAAACACATGCCACTTCTCTTGCTATTTGATCTGCAGTCCTCGTTGCCTCTTCAAATATTCTACTGTTCCTCTCCCTCCATATCCCATAGATGTGTTCTCCATATACCATTTTCATTATTTTGGCTTTACACGATTTCCCCTTAGCTTGTGTTATCACCCATGCCATCATCTGTTCATAGGATTTCATTGGAGTAACATGAATTCGTATCCATTGCATAAGCCTTTCCCATACTGTTTTAGTAAAACTGCATTCACCAAACAAATGTATATGTGATTCATCTGCTCCATTGCATAAACAACATCTTGGATTTACTTAAATTCCCCAGCTTACTAACCTATCTGTTGTCAGCAGTCTCCCATGACATTGCATCCACATGGTGGATATTGCCTTGGGCCTAGCTTCATTACGGAACATTAAGTTTCTCCATGCCACCTTGCTATAGCTTCCCAGAATGCCTAAGTATATTTGCTTGGTACTGCTATGCCTGTATTGTACTGTTGGCTTTTGTTGAATCATCTCTTTTGCCTCGATAATCTTTCTCACCATCCAACTTGCCTGTTGGGGTAGATTCATCTCCAATATGCTTTGCCCTTTTATGTAATACGTGTGGATCCATTTTATCCACATTTTGTCTTTCTTCTGTGCTAGATCCCAGTCTGCATTAGTGATAGTAACTCTATTCCAAACTCTGATATTCAGCAGATTATACCCTCCAGCAGATTTAGGCAAGCACATTCTATCCAATGTTATCAAAGCTCTTTTTGTAATTGTATTAGATCCAGACCATATATAGCTTTTGCAGTATGACTCTATTAGTTTTATCACTTTAGCTAGTAGAATAAATATTTGGGACAAATAAGATTGTATACCAAATATCACTGTTTGGACTAACTGTACCCTTCCAACATAAGATAATTTTCGAGCTGTCCAAGAGAAAATCCTTGCAATTATTCTGTCAATCAGTAGTTGCCATTGGATAGCTGATAACTTCTTTGTGTCCAATGGGATGCCCAGATATTTGAAAGGTAACTCCCCAAGTGAGTATCCAGTATTCTGTAGAATTTCCTATTTAGTATCCTGAGCAACTCCCCAAAAGTAGATTGCACTCTTATTGAGATTAGCTAACAGTCCAGATGTAGTAGAGAATTGCATAAAGAAAGCATGAAGACTGGAGACTGACTTACTATCACCCCTAGCAAACATTAGTAGGTCATCTACAAAGCTAAGGTGAGCTATATCTAGCTTACCATACCTAGGGTGGAACCTGTATTCTTTAGCTTGTTTCAGCCTTTTAAGAAGCCTACTTAGGTATTCCATTGTAATTGCAAATAGAAATGGTGATATGGGATCACCCTGTCTGAGTACTTTAGCAGCTTCAAAAGGTTTTGTCAGCTCCCCATTTATCATGATTGAATAACTCACTGATGATACACAAGTTCTCACCCCAGTTATTGAATTTTGTGGGGAAGCATAGATATTCTAACAATTGTTCCAAATACACCCATTCAACTGAATCATATGCTTTCATCATGTTAACCTTCATCATACACCTAGGGGAGATATGTTTCCTGCTATAGTCTTTAACTAGCTCATAAGCAATAATGATGTTGTCTGCTATTTTCCTTTATGGGATAAATACTGCGTGGGCTTCAGATATGATGCATGGCATGATCTTCTGTAATCTACTAGCTATGACTTTAGAGATAAGCTTGTATAACACAGTGCAACAAGCAATAGGCCCGAAACCCTCAATTGTCACTCGATTAGGAACTTTTTGTAGCAAAGTGATAGTGGTGCAGTTGATTGCTAGAAACATCACCCCTGTATGAAAAAATTCTTTCACTGCAGCATACACTTTTTCTTTGATCACTGGCCATGCTTTCTTGAAGAATTCTGCATTATACCCATCTATGCTTGGTGCTTTATCACTTCCTATGCCTGGTGCTTTATCACTTGCTGTGTTAGAGTTGGCCCTTCCCTCATTACCATCTTGTCCACAGCTGGAAGTATATGTGCACTAGTTCCCATTAAGCTTTTGTAGAAGGATACAATCTCCTCCTTTATAGCTGCATGTTCTGTTATGGTACTTCCTGACAGTGTTTGTAGTTCAACAATTTGTTTTCTCTGCTGCCTCTCCTCCTCCTTTATTGCTATGAGCACGTGATTTTTTCCCTATATATGAATTATTCCCAAAAATTCAAACAAAAATGATTTTCCTTATTTTTACAATTTTTGTGAATTTTTGTGTCATTTTCTGTTAATTGTTTGCATTTTATTTGTGCGTGTTAATTCACATGAAAATACAAAAAATATGCATTTTCATTTAGGATATAGTTTCATATTTTTAGGATTAATTAGGGATTAATTTGTTTTTGAACAAAACATGAAAATTACAAAATAGTTCACTTTAGCATTTTTATTGTTTTAATTGTGAAATTGTCACAAATTAGTTTTAAAGTTTTTAGACATTAATTAGCTTAGTTAAGTTTTTAATTTCTTGCAATCTTTGCAAATTAGATAATTAGTAACAAAAATGAGGTGGAAAATAAGGATGAATTAATTTGGAAAATCAAAATACAAAGAGAAGAACAATTGAAAATGAGGAATAAAAGGGTTGTCTCTAGCAAAGAAACAATTGGGCCTCTTCTGAATTGAGCATCGGCCCAAACAATCACGCCAAATAGCCCAGTCTCGTCCATTAACCCGTTCTGATTCCTAAACAAGTCCAAACGACGTCGTTTCCAGAATCAATCCTAGCCTTCAATTCTTGATCTAACGGTTGATAGTATCCTAGGATGTTTTACATAAATATGTCCGAACGAG